TATATATATATATATATATTCTCTCTTGGGTTTTAATAACGTGGCGCGTCAGGGCCAGTCTTCACGATATCTCTCGGCATTTCGCGTCTTTCTCGACCGTGCCGCTAGATGCTGCTACTTGTTGATACGGTCGCGATCATGCGACTTCTAGCGGCACGACTGAGAAATATGTGAAATGCCGTGAGATATCGTGAAGACAGGCTTTGATGAGCCACGTTATACAAACTGTAGTACGTATATTTGTACTCTCTGGTCTCGACCTGGTGGTCACATCTCTGTGACCACATCGGAGTTCCGCGTAAAATACTCTCTGGTTCCGCGATCGCAAGCGCATGTGCGTGCAAAGGGAGCACTAGGGACGGAGAGAATAAGGAGTAAATGGGATGAGTGGGAGTGGGGCGAGGCGGGCGAAACAGCTAAGCCCACTTGCTGCTCATGCAGCCCCAATTAGAAATTTGTAGGGGTTATGGTAACGAGTATATTTGGTGTGTTATGTTTCGGCAAGTAGTTTATTTACTCTTGCTGTCGACAGCAGTTGCGGGAGCTTACAAATATCATATTCGTTAAATTGTGGAGGTTAAGTGGAACTGTTCTGTCAACGATGTCACATTATTTTCTTTTATAACTGTGGCCTTTCCTAGGAATGTAATGAGTGCAAGGTACATATATCCTAATCGATTATTTGAGTTGATGTGTCTAATTTAATATTGGGGGAAGTTGATATAATTGGAAACGTCACACGTCACACATATGTATTTCTGTTTTCTTGTAGTGCAAAGTGTCGCAAGTGTATCTATATACATACAAGATCATGATTGATGTTTGTGCAAAATTAATTCGAGGCCCGGTGTATTTGACTGGAGAATGTGTGGAATGTTACATTACTTTTTCAAATCCACCTGTACCCCAACACAAGAAATCCCAAAGTAACAGGTCAGTCACCCTATATCATAGAACAAATGTTTACATGATTAGTGACATTTTTTTACTCCACACATTTTCTTTTACAGTGATGTTTTGGAGAGTTTGGCATGGGCGAGTGTTCAAATTCACTGTCAGTGTTCTACAAATAGTAAAGTAGCATATCCTGACAGTAATTCAATAAGTGCTGAAGAACTTTCAACATCTAATACTGGTGAGTATGTTTTACTGCATTATTGCAAGAAGATAAGTGAAGTATGGGGTTATTTTACCAGGAAAATATTGTGGTTTATCTGATGACTTACATGAATTATATGAGTTTGTTTAGCACATTTAAGAATGTAGACATATCCTTCAAATTCAATGTATTATGTAAATCCAATGAATATTTTCAGATACTTCATTTGCACCATGTCGGGGAGAAAGAGGTCACATTGTCCTGTCAACAAAACCCCGAATACTTTTCTGTGACCTTCGATTATCTGCTGGCGAAAGTAAATCGTGTAAGCAAAACCAGTATAACCTTTCATTGTTCTGTTGCAACATGCTTTTGAGTTTTAGTGACTGATTAGTAAATTACGTTTTATTGATATTGATATTGATAAAACTTGGTGTTAGCAAGAGGAAATGCAGAAGGATGGAAAAGGAAATGAAAAATGGAGACAAAAGTGTATCGGTTCAATGTCAAACAGTGAAAAAGGACATACAAAATAACCCTTCAAAGTTCTTGACTTAACAGATGTAAATATTGTGAATAACACTAACACATTACTGTGTGGATGAAATGAAACTCAGATTTGAGTACATGTGAGTGAATTTTATTCAGCATATGATTTTATACATATTCTGTTCTTCCGTTCTTAATTTTTGGTGTAATATATGTCTTCCTACAATGTGGTATTAATTTATTTGTATCATGCTGTTGAGCCTATTCAGAAATTTATATTTTCATTGTTCTTAGCATTCTTCTTTTTACAGTACGGCATCCTATTTTTGAACTCTAATTTCTGTTTTTTTGAAATAGCATGTATACACAAAGTCTCTCAAGATGTACAAAGTATGAAATCCCTGAACTAAGTTTTATTTTATCTGGAAGCTTTAATTTTATCTTATAATCTGAGAAAACTAATTACATTAGATGACAAAGATTTTGGAAAATTGGATTTGAAATTTCTAGTTGAGTGTTTTGATGCAAATAATTACACATTTCTCAAGGTAGTGATAACAAAATGTGCTTTAAACAAATTTATACTATTTTAGAATTATAAAGAAAGTTCGTTTCCTCATTTTTAGAAAATTTCCATTGTGTATCTTGTTAATGAGTCTGAGATTTTATATACAATTTTTAACTAAATGGCTTTTTAATTTTTATTTCTTCCATCTCCTTAATGAAGTGACAGAAATCATGCCTGTTCAATTCTGATATCATGCCTCTCTTTGTTAGTTTCATTCTTTTAAGCACCAAAAAACTCTTGGCATTTGGGATGAAAGATTTAATTGTATGCTTCACACTGTATAGTTTCCTTTATCAGCATTTTTGGATACATGTTCCTGCAATTCCTTCATATGTTCACACCTGTTTTGTCGCAATTAGTGTTTATATCCCCATTAAGATAAATATTGTATAGTTATAAAGTAGTTGTTGTCGATTCATGAATGAATCATGAGCAAGTTATTCATGAATGAATGAATATGTGCCCATAATTAATTCTTAAGACAGGCATTGTAAATGGCCCCATATTCCTGTGGGTTATCCCACTGTGCTTCTACATTTGTTCGGATGGGACTGAATTTATTCTCTGTGGAGTGGATCAAGGAAAATGCCCTTGCTGTTATTCTCACTATCTTGTTAAAGGAAATTTCCAAAAAAACAACTATGAAAATATTTTTCTTTTATTCAATTATTTTATAATCATTGTATTCGTAACAAGTATTAGTTTTCTTAACAAATTAGACAATTTCAGAGCTATGTTAGTAAAATAGCTTTTAGGCTGGTTGATGAATTTCAATTTATATTAACATGGAAAGTTGTCTTACAAATCTTTGTCCTAGTTAAGATGTCATTAGCGTCCATATCCAACATGTTGATCTCCTTGCAAAGAGCATCAGAATTACAAAATGGTGTGACCACATTTCAGCCATTGTTACTCTCGGGTAGTTTTCAATTTTCTCAGACTTGAAAATACCCTTTCTGCCTTTGAAGGTAATAAACGAATGGCTAGTAGAAGTCGAACTCTGAAAGAATGATCCTAATTTGCAAACTTTTCTGACGAATATCAACCACAGTTTGGACATGTTGCTACCGCTGCCTTACTGACACTCTTTCATTAATTTTCAAGGTATTTAAAATCTTTGTATAACACTTCCCTTTCTTTATTAACATTATCTTTGAAGTGTTTACTGAGCTTCTAGAACTCAGGTTTTGGGCCAATGAGAAATTGTTCTGCATTTAAAAAAACCTTAGACTTGATTTGGATCACAACACTCTTATACGATTGTATCAACAATTTCATTAAATGGAAGTTATCTGCGGCATTACCAAGAAAACCTGTCTACAGCATAATCTGTTTAGTTTAGAATTCATCCTTTTTCCGTATAAAATTAGATGTGAAAAACACACTGATTTTTTTTTTCATCACTGTTGCCCAAGAATGATAAATTGTACTTTGAGATCGTTTCTGTTGCTTGCTGAAAGTGAAGTTGTTGTATTTGAATTGGAGTATTCACTGTATCCAAATTAAATTGCAAAGAAGGATGGGAGAAAAGGTCGAAAGTTGTCTTTTTAATGAAAAAACATTGGCATTGGCACCTGCATCTGACCTTTCTGATTCTGCTAATTCCCTCATTAAGTGTATAAATTCTCATAATTGTAGGGGATTTTTGATGGAGGAACCAGACTGTCCCAATTGGACAAAAGAAATACTCTTGGACCACCTTTTCCCATGGAGAAATTCTTAGATGATTTGTCCCCAACATTGCTTTGGAACCTTTTAAAGATCAGCCGTTTCAGAGAGTACCTGATTAAATTGATTATTTCTCAAACAAAATTTGTTGTGGCATTCTCTAATTTACTTTATCAAATATTGGACAGTGAGACATGCAGTAAACTTAGACAGATATTGGTTTCTCCCTTCTCATTCAGATATGTATGCCACTTACGGAGCTGCCATGGTCCGAATTTTATCAAAGCATTCACCTCTGCAAGGGACGAGTAAGTTGCAGGCCTCTCAGTGACTCACTTTTGTAGACTATTTTTATTCTATCCTTGCTTTCCGCACTTTTTGTCTGAAAACTCACTATTCTCACTTTTTTCTTTACAAAAAATTGAATTATTAATGTTATTTTTTTATATATATTGTTGTAAGGATATTAATTTTTCAAAAATTAAGCTAGGAACCAAAAACAGTCAACAGAGCTGGAAACTCTAGTCCAGAAGAAAGACAGGACAAGCGAATAGGCTTGGGAGGCTAGGGGAGTATATAATTGGCATTGGCAGTGCCTTTGCGGAAAAAAGGTGCTCTCGAAAGCACATGAGTAGAAGGACCTATTTTATTCATTCAGAACACTACAATCAATTTCATAAATTAAATAGAATTTATTTTGTTTATATTGACAAATTATTATATTGTATCTTGAAGACGGCGCAACTTCATGCTGAGAGGCAAAAATATTTTTTGTATAATTGTTTTCTGTAACTTTTAGAAAATTGCCAAACAACAAAGTTTTGAACTTCAATTTTATTGACTTGACTTCAATTTTATTAAAAATAAAAATAGAAAATACTTTTCGGGAAGTTTAAAAAATGCAGGTTATTGGGTATGTTCCAAATCCAAGATCATCCTAGTTCCAATGACTCGGTTTCAGAAAAAAGTGATTAAAGCAAGTCCCCTCTTGTATGAAAATTTAATTACATTGTGTGATTTTAATAACACTTAAATTTTGGGAGACTGTTATCATTGGTATTGTTGAGGAAAGTTTGAATAAATGTAGTTATTAAACTGTTTTCTTAAAAATTAGTATCTTTTTAGAAAATACAAATTCAATATTTATTTTCCTCATGTAAATACTATAACTTACATTTTCCCCTACTTGCTATTTTTGGACAACAATACTCGTCATTAGACTATTTTAAATTTAATTTAAAGTTGAGAGGTGTCAAGTTGAATTTGCAAGACTTTTATAAACATCCATAATTATGTGGAATAGTGTCCCAATACTTCCTATATTTATCTCTAACAACCAGACTAACGTCTGTTTTTTTTAGTGACTATTCTCAGTCATTGTTATCATACTCATTGTGCTCATTAGAGATCACAACTAGAACTGATGTCTGTGGATTTATTAAATCATTGAGTATAGTTCTATTTTATTATTATACAAGACTAGTCAGGAAGTTTGAAAACATACACTTAAATATTTCAAACATAATTAAAACAGAGATAAAAATTAGATCATTAAATATTATCTATCCATTGAATCTTGTTAATCGTAAAAACAAATCTCTGTTTTGAAAAAAAAATCTGGAAATCATGTAATGGAATTTAAATTAGTGAGGAAACTATTATGGTCCTAAATACTATTACTGTAAAACTTTTAAAAATTGTTGTATTGCAAAATCGATTATGTAATCTTCAAAATTCTCAAAATTAAGATATCTAGGATGTTTCAAGCAAATATGAAGATTTATTTATTCCGAACACAAGTATTATTAAAAATGAAAATCGTCCAGTGCTATTAAGCATTCTTTTCAGGTATGGCATGTAATCCACTGTTATTCTCTAAATTTGCAAGAACTGATTAGTAGGCCTTGTACCGACAGCAGATGTATTGTGAAAAAATATTCCTACTTGCGTGTTGAAACCTTACTCAAGGTAGGACCGACATTTTCCCAAACCGAGGAAATTCCAAGGAATAGGTACCTACTTCAAACTCTGCATTGGCGTCAGCTCTGAGATTGACTTTCTGGCTGAAAATAAATATTAATTAGTAACCTATGCTTCCTAAAAAATTAATAATAATAATAATAGTAATCCAAGTTTTTTTTTAAATCTAGTTTTTGTACAAAATTCTACACTCTAGTACTCTGTTGTGTAAAAAAGTGTGTGAATAAACATAGTACATTTTAGTAATAAACAGAAAAATTGTGTTGAGTGTGCCAAATAGAACCTGGAAAACCGGGGAAAAAAGCCTTGAATCCCAAAAAGCCAGGTCACTGGTCACTCTGCTGATGTGGTACGATGGGTGAAGAGTTTACAAGTCGTCTTCTTTCTCCATTAGCATTCCAACCTTTTGTGGGTCTTGGCTTTCAGGACTATATCGTTCCATTTTTCCTGTCTATTACTCTCCACTTTCTTTCATTAAGCACTCACAGAACCTGGCACACATCTATCCTCCTAGTTCATGGTCTTACTTTCTTTCGTTGACCTGTCCATTCCATAATTTTCTTTGGGAGCCTATTGCTATGCATTATTTGCATATGGCCTATCCACTTTATTCGGTTTAACCCATTAGTACATGAAGTTACCTGCAATTTTTCAATATTTTCTTTCTAGTATATCAATAAAATTCGAGTTGCCTGCAATGAAATATTTTTATTGGCAGTTGTTTGATGAATATAGGACATCTGAAAAATCAGATCACATGCAATAGCAGTTATACGTTCTTCAGTATTTTGCAAAAGTGGGATGAAATAGTAGGAGATTTAAATAAAATATAGTAAGAAATAATATTTTATTTTTTTACTGAGTAAAATATTATTGATTTGTGAAAATAACATTTTTAGAAAGAATGGGAATCTTGAAACACATAGGACGTAGCCCTACATTTAATTTTTCTCCCAGAAATTTGGCTTTTCCTGTGCAATGCCTACATTTTTTCTGTTGAAACTGGAAAAATCCAGTGGTTTTGGCCATGGTATCTAACATCTAAATTGGGACTTGGTGTTTGTTTTCCATGGTGCGATGGTGTGCGACTGTTTCTCAACAAGGTGAGGTAAACATCTTTA